TTTCTGTGTGTATTATTCGAATAGCTGCGCAGTGAAGTCTCAGCAACAAGTGATTTGATTTGCTTTGCCGAAGTGCTAGCACAGCATCAGTCAATCGTCAATTATCGTAAGACGCACGAAGACGATCATAAATAAAATAAATAAATAAATGAACGAAAGACACAAGATCACGCCTTCCAGAAAGAATGAAAAAAGTTATTTTCTAGCTGTTGAAATCTCGACGCCATCTTTGTTGTAAGAAGTAAACAACGAAGAGAACAAAAAAAACCGCGTAATTGTTGAACGCATGAATAATCATTTTTATACCCGAGCGCACTTGTGCACAAGGNTTTAAAATCGGACAATAACCACGCCCACATCCCATATAACAGTAATTTCGAGAAATACGAAATCCTCGATAAATCAGTAAATATTAAAGCTAATTTCTGCAAAATGATGGTTGCAACAATTCTTTGCCAGGAAATACGTTTATGATAAAATTTTGGAAAATGGGCGTGGCACCGCGCACTTATGATCACGTATATGTATCTCGCTAACCGTTCTAGCAATTTGTACCAAACTCGGTATGGTTATTGTGCTTTCCACATAAAAGTAAACCATTGAAAATTGTTGAAATCGGACTAAAATTACGGCCGCTTTTCATATAACGGTAAATTTCAGAAATGCTTGGAATTTCAATATTTTGAAATTTAAGGACGCTAGTTTACTTAAAATTTATACACGCCGGCTTATCATGTAGCGGTAGCTTTCGGAAAGGTAGAAAACATATATTTAATACTTGCGCCGGGTATTTAAAGTTCGGCTCCGCCCGAACTTAGACTTTCTTACTTGTTATTATGCAAATATAAAAATATGTCGTTGTGTTAAATTATTCTTTACCTTATGTGTGCACACGTTGTCACAAGCGAAAATTAAGAAAATTGCAGTAAAAAGCCACCACCAAATTTTAAACAACGAACAAATGTATACAAACGGCTAATGTCAAAGTCGCCCAACTTTTTTCCTAAATGCGATTATAACGGGCTACTAAGAAGAAGGCGTGATCTTGTATTTTTGGTTCATGCACGTGTCGACATCGCAGCAAGAAATGTTGTTTTTTGTTGTCGAAAATGCCCATTCATTAATGCGCAAATAAACAAGTTAAAAAATAAGAAGTTTCAAGATGTGGTAGTTTTTTAGCTTACGGTAGTAGAAGTAGTAGAAATATAATTTAGCAAAAAAAAATTTTATCTATTCCACAAATGTGGTGCGGTCCGAGCACTGGCTGTTGAGCACGACTTCGCTGCTTCGCACACAAGCACATGTGTGTGATAGTGTGAGTTTGCTCACCTCTGCTTTACAACATTTGATGTGGAATCAGTGCTGCCACGACCACATTTGTTTCCTACCAAAATGTCCTACCAAAACCGACCAAAACCTACCTGTTTGTTCTAAGAAGAAGTAAAGCTCTTTGGAAGGTGCCATTTTACAAATATTGGATGGAGCAGACAATCATTCCTCAAGATGTATCAGTCTGCTGTTGATGATACGTGGGGTTTCCTCCACCATCCCAATTCAAATGGTATCTTAAAAGCCTGATTATGGCAACTTAACTTAACTTAACGGAACGTAGAACTTAGAGAATCAAAATGAAACAGATTTCGGCGTGGCATTAAGTTACGTTAAGTTTCGGCTGTTCAATTATAAGCAACACCCATTTAACAGAATTTTTAAGAGAGAGCCTTAAGTTAAGTTAAGTTTGCCATAATCAGGCTTTAACTTGCAGTGTCTTGTCAGGGAACCAGCAAGAGTTCTAAGACCCTCCCTTCTAAGTTAAGGAGTTTTTCGTTCCTCTTGGAAGGAGTTATAGATCTCTTTGATTGTCTTATTTGCTGTGATACTCCCTAGTAGGCCGCAATCTGAGATTCTTCCCAGCTCCTAAGTAGCTCTGCAGTGTATGCTTTAGATGCACCTCAGACGAGCTCGAAACCATGCATGTGCATTTGGGCTCCACGCTTTGCGAGACAGTCAGACCTTTCGTTGCTTTCATGTCCCGGAACCCACCAGAGCATTACACTATTGTAGGTGCTTCAAAACAGTTTTTCAGCTGTCCACCAGGATTGGTGCCATTTGAAAAGAGTGTTGGGCCTTTAACGCTGCCTGACTATTCGACATAATATTTATTCAGTCCCCATTTGTCCTTCTATGAAGACATTCGCGAACACATATTTCGACTTCGAAAACTTCCTCCTGGAATATGGTATATGTCCGTCGTATACCATACTTCGGACTCTTGGTCAATCTTAGTATTATCGCTTTCCAGTAGCCCCTTTCAGGAATTCTGACCTTATAGGGTTTGTAGAAGGATAACCACGGTAGCATAATGTCCGTAAACTTGATAGCGGGATCATCCAGGAATGGCTTGAGAACCTCTAAATGACCCCGAAGTACTCCAGTTTTCATGCTGATAATATTAGACAGCCAAAGGCTCACCAAGCCAGTGCCGCGTATGTAACAACGGGTTTTACTAACGTATTGAAAGAGCACACCAGTTTCGGTACGACTTTGTAGTTCAGTTCAATTTAAATTAACTTGTAGGCACATAAGGTGTTTATGGATGTTTGTTTTCGTTGTTTTATGGCCGACGGCGCGTAGGTAACTGGCTGAGTCAGCTGGAGTCGTTAGATCGAATCCCACTAAAAGAAGTCTGATGAGGAAATGTGGTGATTTCCAAAATAGCTATCACTTCTACCTTTTTTTTTTTTAAATACGGTTGCTCTTCCACAATAATTTTTCATTAAAAACGGCCCAAGCTCAATAAAAATTTTTGAATATAATTGTTATAAGGCCATAAAATAACAAAAAAAAATTACTTAAGGACGAGCACATCTAAAAGTTAAACATTATAAAAATAGAATTATTAACAAAAAACCAACAAAACCAACAAAACCACCAACCACATGATCAAGTTTAAATAGCACTGGGATAGCTACGCTTGATTTTAGTTGGCTTCACAAATGAAAAAGTGGAAAAAGGCAACAAGAATTTGCAAGGCGAACTTAGCGCAGTGCATAGGAAACTGGCCGAGTCCGCTGGGGTCGTTGGATCGTATCCCACTGAAAGAAGTCTGATGAGGAAATGTGGTGATTTTCGAAATAGCTATCACTTCTACCATTTTTTCAAAAATATGGTTGCTTTTCCACAATAATTTTTCAAGCTCAATATATAAATAAATTCAAGCCTCAAGCTCAATAAAATTTGTTGAATGTATTTATGGATGTTCATAATGTATATTGGCAATAATATAGGTATACGTTTTCACTTACGAATCAGATACATTTATATGTTTATGGTCGCCCTTATACGAATGCACCGGTGAAACAAGTTTGCTAAAATGTTCGGAGATACATATTTTCTACACGGTTAAAAATTTCGGTTTTAATTTTAAACTTTTTAGACTACATATATGACCAAACTAAATTTAGTTTCAAAAACAAACCTTCCAAGTTTAAAAGAGAGCACATATGTTGGGTTTAGAATTTAAACAGTTCGGTTTAAATTTTAAATCCAAACATTTTCTATTTCGTTTGCTTCACGCTACACTTCACGAAAGCTTTTTCATAATTAAGAATAAAAAAAATCTTAAATTTGGACCCGGACAGCCATGGTAGCAGCCAATTGTATTAGGCATATTGATGCAAACATTTTCTATTTCGGTTTAGATTTTAAACCAAATTTTCTATATATGAAACCTAGGAACTCGAATTAAATCATTTTGGTTTGATTTTTAAACCACGAGCTTTTTGGTTTTAATTTTGAACCACTCATAGCAAAACAACATTTTCTAGGTTGCCTCGACTAAAATTAAAACCAGAATATATTAAAAATTGCCTAAAACTATTGAGTGGTTTAAAAAGTAGACTATAAAAGATTAGAAAAAAGCAGTAGTCCCAGCGCGGTTCAAAAATTAAACCCAAATTTTTGAACGTGTATTTTTCGCAAATGACTATTATTGTCGCGAAACCTACCAAAATCCAACCTAGCCTACCAACCCACCAAATGTAAAAAAAACCCACCAGTTTTAGTAGGAAAAGCATATGTGTGGCAACACTGTGTGGGATCTTTATAATAACGAGAACGGGAATAAACGAGAGCGTCGAAAATTCTTAATGCAAGTCCTTAAGTACAAAGCTGATTACCATGATGCAATAATACAAGGTGGTATCAATTATGACAGCTCGATTTGACACTGCCTTAGCTCAGTAGAACGAGAAGAAAAACGGGAAGAAATTACGCCCCATTTGGGGTAAAAATATAAAACTTCAAATTTTTTCCTAAACAAAATTTGCTTTTGTATAGTATATTCGTAATGAAATGAAATAAAATAAGATAAAATACCTTTTTAAGAAAAAAAAATGCGTATACTGAGAAAAATTAAAAAAATATTCAACTATATTATTAGACAAAGAATTGTTAAAGAACTAACACTGTCTCACCTAAGGCAGTCAATATGGCGGAATTAGAGCGAGAAGTTGCCAACCGATAACACCTTGTATTATTGCATCATGGCTGATTACAACGCATTTAGACACTCGACCTAAGAGCTTGCGTGTATTTGTATACTTCGTTCCCAAAAAGTGATGTCAAAATTTAGAATCATTTAAGTGTTTTCTATCAATAGTAAAAGTCCTTTCATACATTTTCATTTCGTATGTACACCTTATAAGAGGCCTATTTGTCCATAAATACATTCTAAAATTATAAACTAACAAACGAGGCCACATATGATGTCAGCCTACGCAATATCACGCTATAATAAGAAAAATCTGCCATTTAATTAACATGGGCCTACTTAGGCCCAGTAGGTTAACTTAGCGCCTCCTAGAGTGCTGCCCATCCTCGGGTTAAATATGTTTTTGTATCTACATATATTTATGTAAATACATACATAAATATTTTCCTCAGCCCTTCGTTGAATATCCACGGGTGAAAAATATTTCATTTGTAATCTTCTTACTTACCTGTGTCGCATCCTCCAGTATTAACTGTTCCAAAAGAGCCTTCAGTGAGACATGTGTACTCTCCTCTAACCACACCACCCACTTGGTATGCTCGTCTAGCAGTTTGGAGCGCACCAAAGGCATCGTACTCTTTATCACCCAATAGCTTGGAAAATTGAATATTTCATGTAGTATATGAACGGTGATGACGTAGTTAGTGTTGGCCAATTGGCTTTCGGCTTGGTTAATAATGTCATCGCGTAGACGTGCTGCTAATGGACGATGATACGTGGTGTCTTGGCTGGATATGAGGAACAATACTCCAGTGGACTCTATGTATGTAGAACGTAATTCGCAGGTGTCATGAAATATTAGATCGGAAATGTGGATTTGAAAAACTATGTACGTATGTAAGTACGGTTATTTACAAAGTTATGTCAAATATATGTTTATACATTAGACTGCGCCATATTAGTATGGAGAAAATTTTTTGTTAAGCTACAAAGCAAGACTTCCTAGAAATTTTTCTTTGATCTTAAAAACTTGCCCCGCGAAAAATGTGCCTCAAAGGTCCCAAAGTTGACCATATTCATGAAATTTTTTACAAAGTGGTCAAAATTGCTTTTAAGTTAGCGCGCAATTTAATATGTTTTACTGTAAAATGTGTACATATCCTTAAATTTTCAAGATTTACTATATTTTTCTCCTAAAATCACAGTTCTCATTATTTTGAAAAGCAGAACAGTTTTTTTGGGAAGTAGCAAAGCCAAAAGTTGAATTACATTTAGTAAAAAACTTAAGCTAAATGTGTGAATTTATCGTATTTTCAGTGTCGTAATTTAACTTACTTAATGTTGCTAACTTAGGGCATTTTTACTTTTCCAAATCTGAAATGTCAAATTTGCAAGTGTCAAGTCTACATTTATTACTTTAATACTTTAACTTAAAGAAATAATAATATATAATATAAAAAAAAAAAACTTTCTAATATACAACGCTTTTATAAATGGACTAAAAAGTAGAAAATAATATTTCTCAGTCCCATAGATTTGTTTTGATAACTTTTGATTTTGAAATTTTAGCAAAAGTCGTTATAACCAATTTATGAGATTGAAAATGAAAAGCGTGGGCGCATATAATAGCCACCTGAATTGATATGAAGGGTAATATATGTTCATATGTATGTGGATATATGAATAACGACCGCTTAAAATCGATCTCAGATTTGTACTTTCGCTGAAGAAATTTTAGGTCTATGCTATGTAGTTTGCCTATTGTCAATTAAATATAATGCTTTGTATTGCATTCGCCCCACGCTTTTCATTTATACAAGCGTTGTATATTAAAAGTTTTTTTTATATTATTTATTTTCTACTTTTTTGTCTTGTCTGTATAAAATTTTGCGATAGATATTAAAATAATTCAACGATATTAATAGAAAGGTGCACACACATGCATTTACATATGTATGTACATACAAACGAGCACCAATTAATTTTATTTAAAGAAATCTACCTCGCCCTATTCACTACAGATGTCGCCCTATGCACTAGACTTTTTTACAGGAACTTTGCAAAGCAAAGGTTTTATGGTGTCGGACACACAACATTGAAAGTTTCTGGATCCACAACATTGAAAGTTTCTGGAGCCACAACATTGCAAGTTGATAAAAGCGTTGTAATAAAAAGAAAAAATGGAACAAGTTTATTTTTGCTCAATTACGACGAAAGTCGAAATAGAGGTATTACCTAGGGATGGGTAGTGGGGGTTGAAAATCGATTTTTTCGGAATTTAAAATATTGTCCAACCAATCGATTATTCGATTTGAAAATTGGTGTTACAAATTCGATTTATTTCGATTTATTCGAATTTTGAAAAAAAAAATGTTTACTGAAAATTTAAAAGTTTGTTTCTAACAATGACAACCGAAAAACCAAACGCAAAAAGAGCTGGTATACGAGAAATATTTGATGAAGAATGTAGAAATACATAATTCAGAACATGCAAAACATGTTTCGTTTCCAAAAATAAAGCGAACACTATTGAATGGACACTATTAATTTCAAAGCTAATAAGATATTGCCGCCATTACACTTTGTGCAGATTGCTACTTGTAATGGTTTAGGAAGCCCGCTTCTCCATAAATTTTTGTATTATATTTAGTAAAGCATTAAAGAACCATTTTTCCCAATTTTTCTTTCGGGCCCTATGCGGGCTAAAGAAGACACACTTTTTGTAACTGCTTCGCTTTACCATTTTTGTTTTATTACTTTTGCTTCTTAATAACATACATACATATTCTCGCAAAATTTTTCTATCATGGGATATTTCATACCCATAAGCAAAGAAACAAACCACTCCTCTCATTTGGTCTAATCCGCTTTTGGATAGGTTCGCGACAGTTTTGACAGTTTTAGTGTGACAGTCATTCGTAAGAAGATTCGAGAATTACTGCTGGCAGCCTAAGACTAGCCACATGGGACGAGTCACTTCCTCTTTCGTTCAAGTCGTCGGCCGAGTAAGTTGTGTGCTAATCAGCAAATAAAATATCGACAACTATCAGCAGAATCCCCCCAGGAAGTGAAATAATAGCGGGTCCAGAAAACGAAAAGCCACTTTTGGAAACAATTGTGTTATTCCTCGTGGTAATATTTATAGCGGAAAGCGCGGAATAGTTCGCACCTCGAACGGGACANAAAAAAAAAAACAAAAAAACTCCAATTATTACCTCCACGCGCTAAATCGCACCTAAAAGCTGCCGAGCTATTCCGTGGCTTTGACATCTGATTCCTGCTGCACAGATTGGATTGCGCTGGACGCCACGTGCCCGCAGCATCGGAATTTTCCTAGGAGCACACTAAACGTAGTAGTCACCAACGACGAGGTTGGTTATACCTAAACGCTGCGGGGTGCAAAGAGCCCGTAGCCACCACCAACATTCTCCAACCATTCTTCTGTTGTGTACCTGACGACAACCCCGGAAGACGCCTTTCTAGCTGGGTTGAAACATCCAAATCCCCAGCAAAGATGTGAAAACATCATCTTTGCATATCGCAAAGTGCCTTTATAGTTCTTGTATATCTCTATATACATACATAGAATTTCCATGGCAAAGCAAATTCTGATTGCTTCAGTTCGCCTGCCATACGCTCACAAAGCTTGTATGTACCTACATATCAATATATGAGAATTGCATAAACTACATATTTACGCTAGGCTAAATGTATAGTACGAAAAAAACCTATAAATCCAAATAATCAATCGAAATAATAGCTAATTATGGTATAAATAATATACATCACTTGGTTTAACTATAGACCTACTTAATAGCTAAAAAACATGGTGTAACTAAATAACTATTACTTGAAATAATTAAAAATTACAGTAAATTTTTATAATACCACAGTCCATAGCAAAGAATATAAATTAATCAATAAAATATCACAGTTCAATAAATAGATCAGTTGCCTTGTTCGGCCCACTGTGCATGAGCTCACCCGAGTAAACATAAATTTGTATTTCCAAAAGAAACGAAAAATTTGCAACAACAACTTATACTAACTTTGGCAAAAGCAATTGCTTAGCATAATTTTCCTCAGCATTACTTCGCGTCGTTGGAAGGCCTTTCATCGGACAGCAGTGGAAAAAAATGTAAGTAAGAAAATGCGATTCTCTTGTATTTGTTGTTGAGGCGATCGGCAAAGCAAAAGCAGTAGGTACAAAGCGTAATTTGACTAGTGCTGGAATTTAGTATCCGATGTGAATTGCCCGCATGAAGAACTCTACTGCTTGCTTTTGTTTTGGCGACATATATGTTTATGCATCCTCCTGAGCCTTTACATTTGCACATGCTCAAATCATGAAAATTTACCTTATTTTCTAAGTTGTTAATAAGGCTTAATACCCACATTTGTACTTATGATAGATCCCTAGATAATTTATATTGACACCTAAACTGAGATCTAAGTAAATAAACAAATTCCCTAGCTACTTATATACTTACCTATATACTAGCGCAACCAGTACACATGGGCAAATGGTATTTTTTTTATATTCTTACTTGTTGAAATTTTATGTAAGATTGGTCAATTTGTATATTTGGAATAAGGTTTATAAAATTCTACAAGCCCAGAATTTGTGTTGTTAAACTTTATTAATTATACCAATTTCTCGTAATAGCCCAGTTTGCAAGTTTTTTTTGAAGAGTGGCAGACGTTGAAGCCTAAATATAAGTTATCAAAAAAATAGTGACTTTATAATGTTGGAGTAGAAAATTTTGACTTTTCCTTGTGACATGGTGAGATAAAAACAGCGACATCAGCGATAATAAAAACGGGCCCTCTACCAAAATGTTAATAGAGTGGCATGGAGGGTGGGTAAAGAACGCGCGTTGCTTTACAACATAATACGTCGCGATTCCAGCCAAATGAGGATAACCACAGTACCGGTTTTGACTTTGACCATTGTTGTAATTATTGAGGTTATTTGCATTCAAGCCGTTTAGTTTTTTTGTTTTTTTCTTTTGGATTTGTTTTCCTTTGTAGTGTACCATCAGTATTATTTAGCTTCTGCAGGGACTCTATAATAAAGTTTGTAATGTGGACTTTCGGTACCAGCCACGAACTCCCCCCAACCGCTAAGAGCTGGCACATTTAAAAGGGTCCCGACCCGGCTGAATGTCGTTAGTCACAGTGAGATGCGCTATTGCGCGTGTTTGTATACCTTGATATGCATCAGCATCACTTAACCATATACAGGTCACTGTATATCCCCGGCACATTAGCATTACATAATTTTTGGCGCCCAACGTGGGGCCCACACAAGCATACCTTTTTGTTAAACAACACCGTTAACAAGTGCAGGTAACAATTGGTAGTTAGCAGTTCAGACTGATTATTGTAAATTAGGAATAATACTTTTTTGTTCTTTTGCCGGTTGGAATTGCGAGTAATTGATGGTAATCAACTCTCGACCACCCGGCTGTCAAATTAGCTTTTGTTTCAGCTACAATTTTCGGTTTAGTGCTCCCTAATTGTCTATTTGCCAAATAGTTTTGAGAAAATTTTTCCAAAATGGAAGTTGAATTTTGAGGCATATGGAATTTTCGAAAAAGCATGCGAAAACCGTACCTAAAAATTTTAATCGATGTTTTGGAAAGGTTGTTACAACTACTATTTCAATTGTGAAAATTCTGGCCCCATTTAGCTCATTTGGTTTCAAAAGAAAGATAAATCGCGTAGTTGAATTGACTTTATTCCGTTAATACTATTACAATGTTATACGGAAATTCGAGTATTTTGCTCTGACTAAATATTTTCGACCGATGGCCTCT